ACAAATCCGACATGGTCCACCGAGGCCGGGCCGACCGCGCGACCAGATCATGGCAGGTCACTGACGGGCGACTCAAGCCCCTACTATCAGTTCATGTAGACTCTTGATGAATCAACCCCCCATAAGATCGAGCTTTTCAATTCAATTGGGTATATGGTTATCTTAATCAAGAGTCCCAAAGGCTTCGGGGCACCCCGTTCCCGGCGTCCCTCCGTTCCGGCGTCGCTGTGGTCCACCCGAAAAACGCGCGCGCAGATGCGAGGTCTCCGGAGACCGCCCTGGTGGCACTGGTTTTTTCCATGTCGCTTCTTCCGGAACCTCGTGCCGGAGACCGGTCCCATCACCAAAGAGCTGCACTCTCGAAAGGCACCGTCCCCCAAAGTGGCCGCGTGGGGAAGCGTCAAGCTTTGCAAAGAGATGCAATGCTGAAAAGCGCCTTTCCCAATGTGGGTCACTGAGTCTGGGATGGTCAAGTCCACCAAAGAGGTGCAATCTTGGAAGGCATATTGCCCTATGTGGGTCACTGAGTCTGGGAAGGTCAAGCTCGCCAATGAGATGCAGTGCGCAAAAGAACGACTCCGAATGTGGGTCACAGAGTTAGGGATGGTCAAATTCAACAAGGAGCTGCAACCTTCAAAGGCATGACTCCCAATGTTGCTGATTGAGTTTGGAATGACCAAGTGTGACAATGAGCTGCAATGTTTAAAGGCACACTCCCCAATGTGGGTCACTGAGTCCGGGATGGTCAAGCTCGTCAGAGACCTGCAATTCTCAAAGGCACAATCCCCGATGTGAGTCACTGAGTCTGGGATGGTCAAACTAGCCAAAGACCTGCAATTCCGAAAGGCGACATTCCCAATGTGGGTCACTGAGTATGAGATTGTCAATTTTGCCACAGAGCTGCAATTCTGAAAGCTGTGAGGACTTATGCGGATCACTGAATTTGGGATTGTCACGTTCGTCAAGGATGTGCAATCCTTAAAGGCATCATTCCCAATGTGGGTCACTGAGTCCGGGATGCTCAAGCTTGCCAAGGAGCTGCAACCCCGAAAGGCAGAATCCCCAATGTGGGTCACTGACTTCGGGATGGTCAAGCTTGCCAAAGAGGTGCAGTTCAAAAAGGCAGAAAGCCGAATGTGGGTCACGCAGTCTGGGATGGTCAACTTGGCTAATGTGCCCCAGCCTGCAAAAGCATGGTCAGGAATTTGAGTATTGTCACTTGGGATTTCGAGCGCAAGCGGCAGTTCCAAGTTAATGTCATAGCCAAAACTTGCGACCGCATATTGGTTGGAGCATACTAGCATGTTCGGCTTAAAGACCACACTCACAACATCATCTGCAGCAATTCCTGCATCCAGGACATTTGCCTCATCGGACAGCAAGTGGTTGTCTCCGATAATTATATCCACAGAGGTAGTTCTGCAAGTAGGCTCGTCCCAACCCTGTCCTTGTTTGATCTGCTGCTTTAGCTCCAAGCCTGTCATCTCTGGCGTGACTTCCAGAACCATGCTCTTGCCGCTTGGCTGCAGCGCTGAAATTCGCATCTCTATACTATACAATGGCTCACGCACCTTGACAAACTTGAATTCATGTTGTTTTTGTGTGTCTTTTTGCTGTAGCTTCGCTGGCCTTACGGAGCTCTTCTTGAAGTAACTTGTTTTGCTGTTGGGCTCGGACCTAGTGCAGCACAACATTGTCAACCTTGTGTTTTGTAAAACACTAGTTGTTCATTGTGGTTCAATCAGAACCACTAGCTTAATTGGACTTCGGATCTACGTACTCGTGGGCAAAGCCTTTGATTGCCAACTGGCTCTCCGTGAAACCTGTGCTGTAGCACATCCGATGGGTCCCACCTGTTCTGGTGTTGGGCACATGTCCATCTACCAGCATCCTCCAACAGGTGAGACCGGTTAGGGCCCAACAAGCCTCTACAGAAGACCTGTCGAGTCGGATGCTGGTAAAGGCTTCCACTTACACTCCCTGAAAGCATCATGGTTACGTGGATGGCATGGGCCCCCCGAGTTCGGATCACCATGATATCCGAATTTCAGGGAGTGTAATGGATCCAGCTTGTCTCCCAAGCAAGTGGCACGCAAAGCGATCTCGTCTCTCGCGGTTATGCTGTCTTCATCTAAGACTGATAAGACTGGCCCGTGTTCAGCAACCCATCTGTGAATCTTTCCTCCCAAACAGGTGGTGCCACCCACCGATTGCCACGGATTCTTTCAGTGTTTGCCTTGACGATTCCGTCGACCAGAAATCCAAGTGCATGTCTCATCATGAAAACGCCACAGGAATCGGCTGAATCCCGAGATCAAGACGGATTCACAAAAAATTTGCAAACAAGAGACTATCCAAAGGGGTCGATTTGTTTAATTAAACAATCAACCTGCTGAAAAAGCTTGCCTCACCACACAACTGAAAGACGTTGAGCCGAGCATCTTCGCGGCTTTTGCCAGCGCCAGCGCTAGCGCCTCACCAAAGCCGCCCGACGCACCAGTAATCCACACCACCTGGCATGGCGCGTGAGAGCGCATGCGGGCGTGCGCGGGCGCGCGAGCAAGTCGAAGGAGTTGATGGTAAGAAAAGCACACACAATCACACTGTTACACGTTTCCAGAGTGAGCCCCAAACAAGGTGTTTGATCTTGGGACGAAATCATGAATATATGTTAAGTGGGATGGGTCACATGCTCTTCAGTCCTGAGTGGTACCACTCCAGCATATCCCCATGTGCTATTATATATAACGGTAGAGTTGTTTTGTGACCCCAAATGGCCATTCCGAAAACGCCGCTGCACCGAATGGAGAAAGACCTGCCCTCGCCACACTTCCCAGTCTGACTCCATACTTCGGCCTTGCCGTCAAAGTATCCTGCAACGTCAGCCTGACGTGGGAGCTCCAGGTGATTCAAGCGACTGACTGGACCAGGGCGGATGATCATGGTGAGTAAAGGCCCTTCCGATTTCCATATAGAGTGATTTAGGTAATTCATCGACTTACTGGGACACACCCTCGAGCCGAAGCTTACTTGAAGCTCCTTGGAGACCAAAACGATATCGTTCATGGCACTCCCAGGTGGTCACCTTGTCTGCGAATGAACCAAAAGTCCAGAGCCGAGGTCGACAGTCGTGTCAAATCATGTATACCAGCACCTTCCAACAGGTTGTTTGGAGACCCTAACAGGTGGTTTCTGAGCACCTGTTGTCACCAGGAAGCACCTGTTGGAGGGTGCTGGTATCATCCTCTGTCGTCTTGAACAAGGCTTTCGGACCCGTGACCTGAATTCCTTTGCAAGGTTTTCGAGTAACTCCCTAGCCCAAGTGTTCGTTGAAAAGGGGTTGCATTTGGATGGGTAAGGAACGATCTTCAACGTCGAGTGGTGCAATCTGGAGTTGGTGCACTCAATCAAGTTTTATGAACATTTTTTTGTAAATACCTGCCAAAGCTGCTTTTTTGAAACACATTGCAGGGAAGTCTCTGGGTCTGGCCTTCCTAACAACCTATCTATCCACAACAATTAAATGTCCTTAAATCAACATCTACTCTCCTCTTCTTCACCCCCTTTGGTCATTGCTTCTTCCAAGTGCCTATGCTCAGAGTTCCCCCAAGAAACATCGAACTCTCCGCGTTGGACCCGAACACCGACGTCCGCAGCTCTTCGCCGAACGAACACGGCGGCGCCTGAGCTCCGAACACGCCACCCATGGAGCGCACACGCGGAACGAAACGTCTGCCCCGTCGAAGCGCGGCAGCGCCAAGGCCAGCACTGCCGGCGCCCGAAAGCCTCCCGCGGCCGGTTAGGCCGGCGGCTGAAAGCGACCGGTTAGGCCGGCTTTCCGGCATGCGACCAAGGCGGTCATGTCAGAAGCCAGGACAATGTGACCTGTGTTTTAGTGTTGGCTCAAACTTTAGCGTTTTTTTCTTCTCGGATGGATGGATGATATAAAGTGCCTTTCAAACCAGCCAAAATCGGTTGAAATGGCTGATAATGGTACAGTACGGAAGATCTAGAGCCGTCATGATGCAAAAGAAAATCTATTAATTTACGTCAAAAGCAAATCTATATGTAATTCAATGTAAGTAGTATAAAAATAACTATATATAATAAGTTGTATATTAAGAATGATATGAAAACACATGGGCTTCGATTGGGTTTGAACACCATGAACATCCGTGGTGACTCCAGGTTCGAGGTTGGCCTACCGCTCAATACCCTTCTCCTCAGTCACAAAGGTGTGCTTAATGGATTTCTTTTTCAGAGGTCCCGGAAGTGTGGTGTTAATTACCAGGTGTTTGGTTTTTTCCCGGGTCTTGAGTTCAGGGTGGTTGGGCCTATGCCTAGGTCTCACGATGCCAGTGACCTGTGACCGAAGGTGTTAGTACAGTACGTCAATCCGACTCAGTCTGTCAACCTCCGTGCCCATCCTCCAATTTCCCCGAGACGAGACCGGACCATGGATGATTAGTAAAGGCCTTTCTCATACCGACTGCTACTGGTTTACCATACCAGTATGGCTTTCGACACACCGAGCGCCATCTTCAGCCCTCCACCGGTGCCTCCACCGCGCGGTGTCCGCGCGACCGCGGTGTCCGAAGACGTCCGCGGTGCGCTCACTGGGCCGCGCGAGGGGACAGCGCGGTGTCCACCGCGTAGGGGAGGGGAGGCCCAGCTGCATAGCTTGAGCCCCAAGGAGCAGCAGTGATGAGTGGCGTGGGGGGGCGGCGAGTGTACATGACGGTTGGGTGATTGCAAGTCATCTATCACGTGCAACGTTTTTAGCAACTCAATGATTCGTGTCCCGCGAAGCATGCTCAGCATCGTGAGATTGGTGCAAACTAGCTGCCTAGCTGTGCAGTGAACTGGGAGAAAAAGCAAAGGCATTTTCGGGGTCCCACTGTGCAGTGAAACCTAAAAGAACTTTTTCCTCACCAACCCACTGGTTTTGGGGGTCCATGTGGTCTCCACCAGGCAAGGCCACCAGTCAACCGCTGAGCTGCTTCAGCCAGGCTCTCCGAAGCCGATCCATGGCACCTGCCAAGGTGGTGGAGACTTGAAGAACTACTCCCACCACGCTCACATACTGGGACCATTCGACCATCTGGGTGTGGCTGGAGAGCATCTGGGTGTGGCTGGAGATCCCGGGACATAGTGTGGGTAGTCCAGCCAGAACACCCCGTCAGAGCATGGTCCTGGTACTGCACTCCGATGATTTTGGGGAGTATTTCCAGTCGTTTCAGAGGTTCGATGGCGACCCCAAGATGTTCTAGACAGATGGGGGTCCAGTCCTAAACCACCGACCTTGGGGTCTGTGCCATTGGTCCTCTCAATCCATAGTATGTGGTGCAATCACGTACGTGCACACACATACCTGGACCTTCAGGGGGTGTCCTGGCTGGAGGTCCCCTAGTGGTGGGCTGGGGCTTCCAGCCTGGTAATGCCTGGTATAAACAATAGACTGCACTCTCCCTGTAACTCCAATTGGAAATGGATCCCCCCCTGTTTGTGGAGGAAAATGGTCGACCGGATACTGGAGATGCGCAGAGTATATCTCCATGGAAGTGGAGTTTGTCATTTCAACCAACTCTGGATACTGGAATCATCATCTATACTCCATGGATCATCACGGAATCATCATGAATACTTGCAACCAACCTCCATGGATCTGGATCCTGGATCCTGGATCCATGTCCCCCTCCAGCGAAGACCAAACAGGTGGTCGTACCTCCACACAGCCCAGGCTGAAACCACGGGGGGGTGTACTTGGACCCTCCACGCGGAACATGGGCATAAGATGGCACAAGGTATCTGCTTGTGTTCGGGATGGAGCTGTAACAAGTTCTGGGTCGAACTGGAGGCTTCCGGGGTCTAGCACTGACATGAGCGGATGCGGGCATCGCGCAATCCACCAACGTCCGGGGCACGTGTAGGCTGCTGCTCGGACAGGCAGCTTGCCAGGTTCCAGTGGGCCGGTGAGCTGAACACTGATCAACATGATGTTCACCATGTAGCATGTATCGTGCCCCACAAGCATTGACCCCTGCCAGGGACTACTAGGGTCATCATGTGTCATCCAGCCTGGCCAACGCCCATGATCCGGATCTCTCCCAAGGCCTGGCCTTCCAATCGCTTTCTCTCGCATGGCTCGATCGTCTCCATGGTGGGCATGCCATCATCACCGAAGCTGGTCATGGCGCAACATCCACCAGTGGGCGAAGGAAACGGCCTGGGAAAGAACCTTTGGGCATATCCATGTATATCCCATTCCCCGGGGCCTAGTGGATGATGATGGGGCCTGGTTGAAGGCCGACATCTCTGTCTGAAATAGTGATCCTTTTAACCGACCGATGATCACCATCGATGGGGCCAACATGTGGTAACAATAGTGATCACATCAATAGTAACATGGGGTGAACATTGGCCCCGACAGTGGCAACAATAGTGATCTTTCTCTAAAATAGTTGGTGGACCCACTGGCCCTAGACTTCCAAGACCATTTAAAAAAATGGTTGACCTGGTTTTTGTAGTGTAAAGTCCTTAGTTGATTCCATAAAGCCTATTAAATTAATGGTTGTTGGAAGCCTAGGTACGGTACCCGGTAATGAGTCACCCCCAAGCAATGATCTCACGCCGGTGGAACCGGAACTCGCTCCTAGGCCGCTCGCCCTTGTGGCGCTCATGTTGAGAATCTCTTTGAACCCTGAGCACCAGGAGTCACATGGAGGGCCTGGGTGGTGTTGTTCGTCCCATCCAGTGAGTGGATGTGACTGTGACAGGGACAACCCAACTTCCTCCATGGATAGCACCCCGTCTTGTGACTGCTGGTCCGAATCTCTTAGGTGTCATTGCTCTCTTCTGGTCTTTGCCAAGATGTTCGTGTGGCCGTTTCTCTCTGCAAGCCTGGCGCCGGGCAAGACAAGAAGGAAGAACCGTCTGGGTGAAGCCGTGGGCCGCACATCAGGTGAAGCCGTCCAGTCGCCCGTCGCGTGGCGACGACGACCCCATGGGATCGATTGATCAATCCGCCACCGATCGGCCAGGACACCCCGAGGAGGAGACCCACGTGTGTCGAGGTTTTGATCGGAAACCACGCAGACTCGAGTTGTCTCTGAGTTTGAGTCCATTTGGATGTGGAAATCGCTGGTGATGGAGCGAACTCAGCGGGATCATGCGGGATCCACAGTGACTGAGTGACATGTTGATCTCAGACTTCCGAACTCCGATGTGTTTTTTTTTCCTTCTCGGTGGGTGGCACTCAGCAAGCTCTGTGTCCCTACTCCTGGCAAATCGGGGCTTAGTAGTTAGTTCATGTGACTTTGCTCTTTTATTCCCTTCATGTTGTCCAACAATCATACCGACTCTTCACAATAGAGAGGGGCGCTGTCTGGGCGCTCCAGGTCACCGAAGCACCGGGTTTTTTGGCACCACCCGAACATGGCTATAGCTTTCTGTCTGCGCCGCTCGTCCGAGTCCCTACCAATCCGGTTCGGTACGAACTGTACCCTCCTGGCTACATCATCTCCAATCACCTCCTGACTGAGAAGGTACGACTGGATCGATCCCAAACGATCCTTTTTCAACCATCCGCCACTCCGCCACCTCAACTGCGCTCGTTTCCTTTTTTTCTGGGGTTCTCTGGCCGTGCTGTCGGAGATTGCTGTGGGTCATTCATCAAACCCGGAGGCCCAGTTGACCCAAATGGAGCATTCAGTTCATCGATCGGTCAACCAGGGTCCCCGGTTTTGACCCACACAGCCCTATCAATGTCTATTCCACCTCCGTCACTCTTTTCCGGCTCTCTCCGCCCTGGTATCTTCACTTGTTTCCATGTGGCACGGCACAAGCGGCCCCAAACCACAACCAACCCGGCGCCGCTCGTCTTGAACACGGCAGGTCAAATCTTGCTCGTGCAACCCAAGTGCCATTTCAATGGCTGACCAAGGTTCAAACAAATTATGAAATAGTTCTTGGAGTCCTCACTTGACTCCAGTGGATAGGACATGGAACATCAAGCCAAGCAACAATGGCCACAAAATGATCAAAACAAGCCAACTTGGGATCTCAAACATGTGTCCAAGGCCGCAATGCCCCAAGCTTCGCTGTGAAAAGCTCCGAACGCCGTCATCCAAGTGCTATGGGACTTTCACCCAGATCCATGTATGGAAGATGTTACCCCGTGGAAAACGAACATGGACCCTGAAAACCACTGGGTTTGTACAGGAACACCGTTTTTATTGTTGATTCTAGGTCCCAGGGTCCATTTTCGGGAGTGTACCTGACCCTTAAAGCATCTCAAAACCAAGCAAAGTAGGCATATATGCCAGTCCCATGGATTGCCGTCATAGACTCAGGCACCTCCCAAAACTGCAGTATATTGTAGTCATGCCTTGCTCAATGTCCACCCACCTTGCTTTTGGCACGAAGGATGGCCCTGGTTGATCCAATCCGCGCCTTTGTGCGATCAAATTAAGTCCAACAACGCAAAAAAAGGATGTCCTTCAGGCTCCCTATATCAAAACATATCAAAGCCACCTAAGGGACGAGCATTCAAGCCTTTGATTCAAGAATGCATTAAAACATGTATATATTATTAGTCGGGCACCTGTTTGAAGGTACCAAGACGGACCCAAACTCAGTCGTCGGGAGCAATCCTCAGGTGTTGACCATGTTGATCCATGTTGAGACTCAAAGTGACACCAGCCCCGTTGATGTCTATTTAGACCGATTCAAGCTTTATTCAGAAATTGTGGCTTTCCAGTGGCATGAACATACTAGCTGACTGACTGGGCTCAGGATGTAGTGAGCAGCCGCAGTCTTGCGCTTATCCTTGAGCAATGTTCATTTGGTGATTGGGGCATGTTTCGTGGTCTTTACACGCGGCACCAAATTCACCGCAAACGACATGCACAAGGGTAGAGGGTAGCGCATCATATCACGGTTTACACCCTTTCCGAGATCATCAAAGTGGAGGGAGAGTAGATGACGCAATCCCCAAAAACGTGGTTTCCGTGGAGCTAGCGAAAGACACATTACTAGTAATTCATCTGCATATCTATGATGTTGCCATCTACTCTGATACCACCATCTAGGCTTTGGAAAGTAAACTTCAAGCATTAACCTTTCTAGGATGCCAACCTTTTGAAAGGAACCTTTGATGCCAACCGTGACGGGGCAGACCTGCTTCGTTCCTTCGTTCCCAGTGAACGGGACCCCGTCCTATGCCCTATAGGACTGGGGTTTCTCCAACCATACAGAGCCGGTACTATCCTGTTAATCTAGGACGGACTGATATTGATCGTCCGCTGGACCAGAATTGTGGTGCTTGTGCTGGCTTTTGGAGTGATCGTGAACACCTCGGCAATGATATTTCTCTCTCAATGTAGGAGCACCTCTGGGGAAATTCAGAGGGTTTGGTATGGTTTGGTAATTAGGCTGTGGGTCAAGACCCGGCAACCCTGGTTGACCGCTGATCATGAACAGATTCTATGTTCGGGATGTCAGTCTGTCTGGCTGTCTAACACCCAAGGCTTCTCCAAGACGAACGATGAGGAGACTGAGGAAACCCCACGCATTGCCATCGGCATCGGCAACGCCCCAGGCTGCGGCAGCCGAAGCGGAGGCCGCGTGGACAAATGCACGAGCATCACCACGTCATCACCAGGAAATCCATGGGGATCATGGTGCCAATCTGCGGCCTATTATCTGCGACCTATTGCACTTTTTGTGTCGGATCATTTGGTCCAGGACAGGCATCTGTTCTTCTCTGCGCGCGATGCTCGTGCTGGTGATTGAAAAGAGTAGCTGTTGACGAAGAAGCACCTCGATCAGATAAAGACCAGCTGTCGGATGGTCTCGGCTGCTTGACATTGAATGACCATAAGTAGGAGACCTCAGATCTAAGAGGCAACAAAACGAACAAAAAACCAAACCACGTGGGTTTCAAAGGGACAAACGTGTGCCCTACATGTTCCAACTCACTTGACTCTAGTTCAAACCTTCCAGGACTTCCCTGCTTCCCTGCTCAAAACCCCTTCCTCCCGTGCAGAGTCAGTTGGGGCCTCCCATCCGGAGTCAGCTGGGTGAAAGCATGGTGAGACGGTCTTCCTCCCGGGCTGTTGTTGCAACGCAGCGAAAAACCGGCTTGTGCTGGTCAAGTGGCGAAGAAAGAATCCCAAGGGCTCGAAGCAAAGGGAAAGACCATGAAAAACACACACAAAAACGAACTACCTAGCACTTCCTGTCTGGGTGCCCGGAGTTGGAGACCTGTTTAAGTAGGGTAGGGTAGTCTATCGGACACCCAAACAGGATGATCCTGGTAATGAACAATCAGCAAATTGAAGCTTGCCCCATCTGTTTTGTTGTTGTTTGTTTCTTTAGCACTGCATCTATAGTGAAGAACATATAGAGAACATTGAATAGACCGAGGTCGACATCATTGAACTCCGGGTTCCCTGAATTATGAGAAGCACAACGGTCACTCTGTCATGAGTCTGACCCAACCAAGAGAGGTCTTTGACCTAAACTGTTAGACCCGACTTACCTGGGGCAATTATACCCAACTGGGATCGTCGCACGTCGGGCTTCGCCCTGCTATCTGCGCTGGCTCGGCGCTGGCTCGGTGTGGACCACTCGCCAAAAGCTTGCCATCCGGACCACTCTGGGAGCCGGTTTCATGCGAGCAACGGGCAACCCCTACCTCTCAGGAGCTGAGAAAGGGATAGAGCTGGGATGCGATGCGATACTTCCAGAACCTCGGAACGAATCGCTTCGCGGAAGGCCCAAGGGATTTCATCACCCGAAGCCGATGATATGACCAACGCCGGGGCTGAAAGAAGGAGCACTTCTGTTCACCTGTTGCTGCCACATATAGAGTTTCAAGATGTTTGAAGCCCAAACAAGCTGCCTTGAGGCACGCAAGCCAGCTATATCACTATATATATGTGGTTAATTTATGAATTATATAATATTATATATCATTATTTCAAATTATTTCATTATCTGCTATTGTTGTTGTTCTTATTCATAATTATACGTGTGCCAGCACTCACAAGAGCCTGGTCCCGCCCTCTCTTTGTCAGTGGAACCGTGGAACCCGCAGCTCTCACCGGTCCCAGTGCTGACCCAAGAGACGATGGTGGAAGCCATCCATCCGCCTCCAGGCGCTTGCCCACCTCGGCCGTGGGGCAACGCTC